TTGATGAATCCATATTTTTACCCAGCCAATATTTCCCCTACGAGGAATCAATAGAAAACATCTCATCTTATCCAGCAGTGGAAACACAGCTACAGTCTCAAGTTTAAACTTACCTCACGTTTTAATGCCTTTCTTCACCATCTGTGATGTAAAAAGTGAGCGTCCTGCTAATAGTTGAGTTCTAAAATCTCAGCACACCATGGAGTGTCTCTCCTGCCTAAACACTTTTGGCTGAAGAGTCAATCACAGTGGACGGCTGTAGAGGAGGTTGAGCTTCACTGACAGTCAGCACTGCGATGAACTATCACTCTTCTTAGCTTACCATTTGAATCATCGACTTTTCTGGGGCAGCCATATGTACATCCCCCCCACCTGTCTGCGAGGACAACTTAATGTGAGTCTGAGGGTAATTCCCAAACCTACGGCATAATGCTTCAAAAATGACTCAAAACTAACTTTTGAAAAGGCTGTACGCTTGTTGAGAAATAGGTTTTACAGCTTGTTTTGGAAAGTTATTCTGCAGCTCTGAAGCAGTTCCAGTTCCTCATGTCCACTTCTGATTTACTCACTTTACAGCTCCTCAAAGAACTGTTAAAATGCTGTAACATGACACCTCACTAGTGAGGGGGTTACAGGCATTAATAATCCATTCCTAACAATTTCCCCCACCTCCTCCCCCCTGGATGAACTGCAGTGAGGGGCCAGCCATCAATAATCAAACCTTAATGCCTCTCCACTTCCTGATGAATGGCGGCAGACTAAATAAACGACATGAAGGCCTGATTGGAGGACCGGAGGAGACGGACAGCTCCTGAGCTCTACAAATGTATGCAGTAATGAGGGAGATTGGGATCAGTTCTGCTGGTGGTGGAGAATATTAACAGGTGGAATGGAGGCACAGTGAGGTGGAGGGGCCGACTGTTTGTTTTTATGTATTATTGTACCTAGCTTCTCATCTGTCCAGTTATTTACAACTACTATTAAACAATACTATTTCCATTTATGATAAATCATTTGAGCTATGTCAGAAAAGAGTGAAAGATGTCGATGAAAGCTTCCCAGGGCTCAAACTGACATCATACATCTCGTTTCAGTCCAAATGAAAAGCAGCAAACCCTCACATTCAAGAAGCTGAAAACAATACATTTGACCATTTTTGCTTCTTAAATGACTTTGATTACCACGAGTTAACCAGCAGATGAAGTCATTTATCATTTAGTTGTCATGAATCTGTGAATGTTAAAGTTACCATTATTCTGAGCACTTTGTGATCTGTCAATAAAAGACAGTGTGACAGTTCATGGAAGCAGCGTTTTTTAAGCAGCGTGTTTCTGAACTTCATTTTCCAGAAAACAACCAACAAAGTGTGGGAGGGACGATGATAACTGCTTGGCAAACTAGATTAACTGAGAAACTTCGCACAATTAAAAGTATGCCGAATTAGTTATTAGCAGCTCCTGTTTGCATGGATGTACAGACTACTGTCACTGAATTACTTTGATAATGAAGAAAACTTCAAAACATGATGATTCTCAGCCAAGTTCTGCAGTTCAAGGAGCGTCTTTTTGTCTATGATTTCTAAGCAGATTTATGGCTGTTTATTGGACATCAGAGACAATGATATCAACTGTCAAGTCACACTAAGTCTAAAAATGTGTGTTTTCTGTCTGTGCGTTCAGATTTGACTCAACACGCAATATTAGAACAGAAACACAATATAACAAGCCCCGAGGTAACAGTTGCATTAAAGCTCAATTTTTAAAGTGTTCACTCTTCAACAGTCTGGAGCTGTGTTGTCTCTGTTTCCCCACATGACTCATTAACGTGTCATCTTTCCTTTTAATTGTGACATTTACAACAGAATGTCAGAAGAAGCAAACAGAACCACAGTTGTCTAACAGACGTTGTTTTGTCCGAACAGGAAGTCGACTCAGCTCCGCTCCGTAAATCACACTGACAGTCATTAGACAGAAACACTGCCAGCTGACTTACTGGGGTGTGTTGGATTTCAACCTCCAAACGCCCCCACAGCACCGCCCCCCCTGCAGCTGGAGTCTGAGGTGACCTGGAACTTCCTGTCGCAGCGTGGCCTCACTGTACCATAACCTTTGACCCCTCAGTACCCCGCACATGTGGGAAATAAGTTTTGGTTTGTCGTAATGAAAACAGGTTGTGATGAAAGAGACTGAGGTCACTGTGTGTGTGTGTATTGAAGGTGGTCGTGTCTGGACTGTGTCTCTAGAGGAGAGTGACAGCAGTGACCTGAAGCAAACACACACCCATGTTTGTATTTCTGTACCCGTGAGGACCCTTATTGCCACGATGCATTCCTTAGCCCCTAACCCTAAACTGAACCTGAAGACAATCAACCCTAAAACCAAGTCTGAACCTTCAAATGGCCCTTTGAAGAGGAAAAACTAAATCCATACTTTCTAGAAAAAGCCACAATTTTTGAAAAATGTCTTCCCTTTCCACAAGTGAGGCCAGTAATGATCATATCATCATCATAAAAAATCATAAAAACATTTTATTTCATTATTCATTTATGTTTTATGCTCACATCAAAAAAATCAGAATAGGCAATTAAAAAATGGGCCGCAGACTGAAATATATTTATATTTATATTTATATTTATATTTAATATGCCCTCACTTTTGTTTCTGACTTCTTCATGTTTTACACTTGATGAACTTGCATGCAATAAATACACTTGGGCGATGGCGGTATCTAATTTAATGTATGAATATGAGCCTGCACGTCAACATTTATATTTTATTTTGGAAAATAACAAAATGAGTCTCAATTTGCAGCAAACAGTGTAACTCACTATATACGTGTACTGGAACAGGAACTTTCCTGAAAATCCTCAAGCTCATATTCATGACTTTAAATCCGGTATGTCAGTGTATTTGCTTCAAAGTTAGGCTATCAACTACAACACACTAGAGCTTTGATTCTCTGCTCAATTGGACACGACCTGCCGAGTTTGGGCCCAAAATTGCTGCCGTACGTCAGGCTCAGATGGAATGAAATTTTTAAAAATATATATATAATATTTTATTTAAAAAGGCATGCAACTGTAATTAATGAGTGAATGAGTTCTTAATTAATTTAATTCATTTTGATTTAATTATTTATTTATTTTAAGCGGAATTTCATGTTTGGGTCAGGCTCGGGGCCCAAAGCTACTTCCAGGGTTCGGGTTTGGTCGGGCTAGATTTTTTGGGTCCAATCAAAGCTCAACACACAAACATAAAAATAATAATGGGTAACAAAATGTCAGTAACCATAAAACAAATCGAGTGCAAAACATCACATACTGAAGGTTTGATCCACATCGAAACAAAAACCAGATGATCTGATTTCAGAATCCAGTTTTTCAGAATCCGATCAGATTACACAACAGTAAAGATAAGGCTGTGTTCTTTGGGCACATCCGTCCAGTTAATGTTATCAGTAAAAGTTAAAAAAGATTTCTTGCTTTTCACCTGCCAGTTTGAGATGTCTCAAAAAGTTATCAAAATCTCATTTAGTCTCTCTTGGATTAGTGAGGTCGATAAATAGCAGGAAATGTAAGCACAGTTGGGTTTGTTTCAAACTCCTGAAATAACAACACCACCCAGGATCAGAGGGACCCACTGAGCCCTAAGGCGGCTCAGACTGAATGAGGTCCAGCTGCAGGACCGTCAGAGTCCTGCGGTCAGTGTGTGTTCTGGCTTCACTCTGTCAGTCTCTACTGAACCAACAGAAACAAACTGCGAAAACTCATCTAATCTGAGTATTTCTCCTGCTGCTTGTATCATGAAGCCCCTCAGTGTGTCAGAAACATCAACATCAGTTTCCAGAGAGCCCAGTGGACAGAAATGGCAGCACTGAGGCTCGGAGCCGTTTTTAGGTGTTTTTGTTCCCCTGCTGGATTGTTTTCCAGGCGGAGGGCTGCGCTGTGTTTATATTCCAGTTTGGAAACTAAAGTGGTTCCATTTTAGAGCAAAGCAACCAACTACCAGCCCCCAGAGAGCCATGAATCACCAGGGAGTGTGTGTGTTTTTGTGCACTCACTTGTTAATATTAGCTCTGTGTAGTGTGAGAAAAAAGCTTTTTGTGATAATGTTGTTTTAGATAATTTTAGATAAAAATGCAGAAATCTGGTTGAGACATTAATATTTCCCAGAGGATGAATCCTAAGAACTTTGATATTTTTATCATTGTTTTTTATAATAAAATAAAAATAGCAGTAAGACCGCTTGGTACTTAATTTGTATGGATGTGTTAAAATAGAATACAAGCATTTGACCAGCAGATCATTATCATTTTGACGGTATCAAATGGTTCAAAACAATGAACAATTTTCTGGATGACTGCTTCATAATGTTTCAGTTCTTCATTCCTCCATCACTAGTTTGTGGTGAGTCAACTGTACACGATGTACACAGAGAACCTAGTTTCTTGTGCCCTTGTGTCATCTAAAATAAAAAAATAAAAAAATAAAAAACTGTCACTGAATTAGTTATTTTGTCAATTGTAGATGGTTCGGATGCCACTGATGTCTCGTACCAAGAAGCCACAGCCACCCTCCCCGTTCCCCACATGATGGCCCTGGTCATGTCCCAGCTACAGCCGATCCTGGAGGGCTTCAACCGCTCGCTGGACCACCTGAGCCGGCAGGTAGGGGAACTGGCCCGTGACGTGGCCCAGCTGAAGAGCAGCCAGCTGGAGGCAGAGCTGCAGGCAGGGCCCCAGGACGGCCCCGAGTTCGACGAGGCAGCGGAGGAGCGCTTGGATGCCAAACTGAATGAGGTGTTTCAGAACATCAGGGAGGTCCAGAGGCAGATGGAGAGCCAGCGGACGGACATGGAGAATAGGCTGCACTACCAGCATGTAATGCTGCACTACAACCTCACCAACTTTAAGACAGATATTGACATGAAGCTGAAACGCAACCAGAAGATGCTGCAGGTCAGAGGACAACAGGAACATCATTTACTTCATACAGTTTTAATTAAGTAAATCGAAGAAAGAAATATTAACAAAATGTTTTTAAAAGGTTTTTACTCTGATGTCTGATCAGCAGACAAAAGTATACATTTATTTTTTAATTTTGAATGAAAAAAAGCAAACTGGTATTTTGAGGTCCACAACGCTTTAACCAGCAGATTTTTAGTATTTTCACTTGACAAAATGCTGAAACACGTAACCCATGTCTCTGATCCCAGGTCAGCCTTCAAGCCATGAACACCTCATTGGCTGAACTGAAACTGGACCAGGATCAGACCATTGAGGATGAGCTGGAGGATCACCTAGCTACCCCCTCTCCACCCCCCCACCCACCGCAGCCCTCAGACAACTCAGCGCTCTGGGAGGCCATCAAACGCCTGGACAACATGGTGGTTAACAACACAGTGAAGGTTGGATATATTTTTTACAGCCACTGTCCCGTTAACTTGTGCCACCTAGGGATGATTTTGTGTAAAACAACCTAGATATATCCTAACTGTAGAAGCATGGCCAGATTAACCTTTTAGGGCTCCTTCACGCAAAAATGTGTTTAATTTCTTTAATAATATTTATATATAATAAAACCATAGAGGGCCACTATATTTTTCTAAAATGCAGGATTGGCCTTATTTGATTTTATGCTTAAGCTGAGAAAATTCACAAACTAATACCAAACACTAAGTGATGGTCCTGGTCTTTGCGGCCCACTGGGGCAATTAAAAGACTTATTAAATCACAATACAAAAATGAAATTTAATTAAATTCGTAAATCAATATGAAACAATAAAAATCCCTGTTTACGTGACTTGCAGACTGGCTATGGAAACAAACCACAGAGAGGCTGTGATAGCAACACAGGCAGAGGGAGAGACACACCAGGAGTCCACTATATCTTTACATAGAGAATAGGCCTAGTTATTTATGACCATATCAAAGCTCATAATCTCATATAACCTTTATGTATTTGGTGATACACACTCACATTGTATAACTGTAAATATCAAGTGAAGTGAGAGAGATAAAGTTATTAAAGGAAATCGGAAAAAAGGTTTAAATATGAGTTGAAGGAAATCATCTCATCCTTCATCGTGTGTTGTGCAGGTGGGCGGCCTGATGGAGGACGTGGAGGTGACCTCAGGGAACGTCCATCAGCTGAGGTGGGACTTGAAGGGGCTGGCGAAGCAGATCAACCAGACGGCTCGGACCAGTCAGATTCAGTTCATGGAGACGGGGCTGGAGGTGGAGGCGGCCAGAGAGACGGTGTTGCGGCAGGTGGACGAACTGGCGAGGAACCTCAGCCGGCAGGCCACCGATCTGCAAGAGATAGGTTCGGACGTGGACTACCTGTACATCACCATCTACAAGAGCAACTCGTCTGGAGACTGCGATTGCAAGGGGCTGAAAGCCACCGTGGCGAGACTAGAGAGGGGCGTGGCCAATGTCACAGAGCTGGCCAATGAGAACCGATTAGCCCTGGAGGAGAACAGCGAGGGAGTAGCTGTGGATGGGGCCAGCGACTGGGAGCCATTGGTGGGGGTGCTCCAACGCGGCCTTCAGGAGGTATGAGAAATAAAATCCTTTAACAGTTTTCTACTAAAGACACAGACTTGAATCTCTATTTTATATGAACAATATACAAGAGACTAGCTGGCAGAGGGGAGGACTTGACTTGATAAAATCACTTTACTTCATTAGGGTTTATAGTTTTTCAGTTGTACTGTTATTGTTATGCATTGAATATAATATGAAATATCCATAAAATATCATGTCATATCAAATGTCAGTTAGTCAGGGTCGTTTAGTCAATGACAGAAAAGGGGTCCCGATCAGGAAAAAGAGCACCAAATATAGATTAATCCGCCGCTGAAAATAGTCCCCAACAATTGCACTATTTCCTCCTGTTTGTTTGATAAAACTACAGAAAGTAGGTGTTTTAGGAAATGATTGGGTCCTCCATTAAACATTAAAACTATATATTTGTGTTTTTAAAGATTTACGTCTTCAGTATGAAGCAATGGACTTGGAGCTGAGAGCCACAGACAGGAAGTCAGACAGTATTTAAAGCAGACAAACATGTTTTTGGTTTGGGTCTGAAAATGCAGACAATAGAATCATAGTAACTTTATTTAAATTAAACATGCTTTCTTTCCTCTCCTTCATCCTGCAGGTGAAGGAGTATCAAGTCTCAGAACAAACCAGGACCAGGACTCTGGAAGACAGCTTGGCCCAGCTAAGCAGCTTGGTGAAGGTCAGTATGGCTGAAGTCTCCGGCCTGAAGGAGGCCGACCAAAAGCAGGTGGAGAGGATGGAACACCTGTCCAGCTTCTTTAACTCGCTACTGAAAGACGTCATCAGACACAGCAACGTTCTAGAGCTGCTGCTCGGGGAGGAGGTGCTGGAGTTCTTGGATTGGCAAGTCCAGGACCAGGAGGGCCACTCCATCCCGGCCCTGAAGGAGCAACTGAGGCAACACAACCTGAGCATCACCTCGCTGCTGGGCGACAGGCCAGGTATGAGGCACCAGGAGCAGCATAGTATCTCATTTGGTTGATCTCTCCTCAGTTTGGTGATTTGTTCCCTTACTTAAGAATTTATGCTCATTAAGTTAATTTTGATAAATTTTTCCACTCGTCCACAATCTCACTGTGGACCGACTGATATTTTGATTTTGGACTGAGATGTGTAGATATAATGGTAAATGGTAAATGGACTGTACTTGTATAGCGCCTTTCCAGTCTTCGGACCACTCAAAGCTCTTTTACACTACGTGCCACATTCACCCTTTCACACACATTCACTCAGTGAAGACAAAGGCCATCAAACGGAAACTAACTCATTCATACACATTCACACACCCATGCTATGCATCTGTTGAATTTCGACCCGATTCGCCATATAAACAGACCTCAGTGTACAATGTCAATCTCCCTACTAAACTCACTCACATATGTCTGTAAACAGTCCCAACCCTCTGAACCCGCTCCTCATAAACTTCAGGTATTATCATGGTCCAATCTCAATGGAAACTTCACATGTGTGACAAGAGTCCGACCCTTATTGTGGCTCAGAGGCAAGCGGGTCGTCCCCCATATCGGAAGTGTTGTTGGTCCGATCTCGCCCGGCTCCTCCTGCCACGTGTCTGAAGTAATCCATTGAGCAAGTTGACTGAACCTCCAAATTTGCTCCC